GGGGGAGGGGGGCGGGGGGGATATCTCATTTCATTTAAGCCAAATGTTTCTTTTCTACTTACTGCTGATCATAGTACACACTAACTGGCAAGAATTTTTTTCTTGCTTGTGACTGCTCTGCAAGCAACAACTGCTCTCTACAGTTCAGAGACTTGCATATTTTTCACCAAAATTTGTCTGATCAAAGGTTGTCCTTTCGTTAGTAATTGTTTAGCCACGTATACAACTGGAGACGAGATCTATGTAAAACAAACCTGCAAAATCCAGCTCTCGGAACACTTTTGCTTTAGTGTGTTGTATAGTGAGCTGCTAAGTGCAGCATTATGCAAAACTCTAAGGCATTCACAAAGAGAGCTCCTTCTCGGGAGGCGCTTGCCAGGTGGTAGCAGATGTCAGCCTGAGAGGAGAGTTTAAAACTTTCAGACAGGCAGGGGCAGTGGATTGTATCCAAAGCGAGCGGCCAGTTAGAAGGATTTTGCTCAATCAACGGAAAGCATAACACATGGTGTTCAAAAGTTTCCCCAGCGTTTCATTACTGATGTGTCTGTGTCTTACTGATGAGGTAATCAGCACCTTGAAAACTGATTCCAATGTGCTTTAGGATATCCTCAAGTACTGTAGTGCCATAGTTGTAATTGTTTACCATTAAAATCTAGTGTGTAATTTTCAGTGAGGATTACTGACTGTGCTCATCTTGTGTGTTTCTGGAGCATTTCCAGGTTGAATGTGAATTATATCTCATTCACACAGTGTGTTTATGGAAAATGTGCCATTAAAGTGTCTCCTTTCCTTAGAAAATGAAACTCCTCTTGTCCTTCTACAGGCTTACAGAACATTGTTAGTGTAAATCCTTTGAACAGGGATGGCAGAGTATTCTCACTTGTTCCGGGGAAAACAAAATAAAGCAAATTGAAGTGTTCCCACTATTTAACGCCTCCACCAAAACTTAGCATCTCAACCCAAAGAGGACCTGCCATTCAATTTTAAAGGGCCTTGTCACCCAACAGCTGTTAATTTTTGTCAGATTGTGGTGTGTGTCCTCTCTGTGGTTAAAGAGTCCATCCTAGCAAGGGGAACCTTGTCATTCAAGTTTGCTTGCTGTGTTTTTTTATAAATAATATTCCTGCGTTTATTACAACTCAGAGCAGTCTCAACTATTTAAACCTGCTCAAAAATGAAGGTAAATTCTGAAAAGGATGAAGAGATGAAAATGCTTGTATAAGAACAAAGAACTGCTCTTTTCCAGTGACTGGTTCACCTGGTATGTGAAATCATCTGCTGCTCTTCTCCCTTTCGTGGCTTCATAAAGTACTCGTGCCACTGGCCATAGCCTGCTTCTGAGCATGGGTGGGGAGCAGGAATCTCCTTCTCATTTCAAGAAAAATATTAAATGACAAAGGATACGAAACCAGAAAGACTAGCAACTGTTAAACACAGCTTACCGTATATAATAGAAAATGACTAACTCTGAAGAATTAAACAGATCCATGTTTGCCATTTTTTTGCGTCGCTGTGGGTAGGCATACACATTACTCAAGCACAGATAAGCTAAAATAATTGTTGCAGACTGCAAACAACTTTCAAAGCTTGTTTTTCAGAGCTGAATTTCAGACTGCTTTCTCCGGGTAAGAAGGAAAAGATGAACTTTGGGGCCTGTCATATATTGAAACAAGCCCCATTAAAATGCATAGGTTGTACCTATGTACAAGCCACTTCAGAAATTCCTGCAGGGCTGTTTTGCTGTTAATATCTGCTAATTAGTTGAATGTATTATTTTCCTGTATTGACAGAAGATGGGCATAAACTACCTTAGTCTCTACTATTTTTATTTCACAAATGTGAAAGTTATAGGGCTGTTCGTTGTTGCTTTTAATTCCAACCTGCCGTTTGCTGTAGCTTTATTTTTCTTCTAGGAGAGACTTTCTGCTACAGTTTCTCTCA